TTTTTTTTTTTTTTTTTTTTTTTTTTTTTTTTTTTTTTTTTTTTTTTTTAATTAATAGCCTATAAGACATAATATTGAATTTTCCATAATATACTGCACGTGCTGCTTTATTTATTTATTTATTTATGTTTTTTTTTAAATGTCTGCTGTGCACGTGGGTTTTAAGCACTGTGTTCCCTCTTTCCGGCCTATGGATGGAATTGTATTCCCCAACTCTTATCATCAAACATATCCCACCATTAGCTATCTTCAAAGACGATTAGAGACGGGTGGACGATGTCTCGGTGTTGCGCGAGGAACATCGGGATAGAGACATATTGTGACAGAAACACTAGGAAAAATAGAAGATTAGTTTCGAGCATTTAATCATATAACGTTAATAAAGTTTATTTAATATCTAAGTCACTAATGGGTGCATTAATCATCGTCATTTGTTTGGGTACTAATCCTCGAAGGGACACTTTTCTATTCTTGATTGGATTGAAAGGACCTTTAATACTTATTCTTTTGTCACTCGTTTCATATTACCTTTCAATTTTCACCGTATAAAGTGTATTGTTATCAATCTTTATATCAAAATGTTCTAACTCGTCGATTGCACGTTTGATTAATTTATGAGATTCTTTTCGGTCGATAATATATATGACAATTGTAAAAAATATCGATTCTCATTTTAGATGAAATTCAAATTCAACAATAAAAGTAATTTTCATAAATAATATTTTTAAAAATAAAAAAATATTTCCAATTATGAAAGCCACCCAATGGCCGTTAGGATAATATATTTATATAAAAATGGTACGAAATTTCAAAGCAAATAAACTATTCCATGAATCATGATGTAATCTGAAATTATTATTTTATATTTGTCTCATTTTCCACCAAAGGGACATTAATTATTACCCAATTATCATTTTAGTATAAAATATATAATTTAAAAACAAAAATTCAAAAGGCAATCGAGCACGTGCTAAATTATTTTCTTATATATTTGGTGGATTTTATAATAATATTTCTTTTAAAATTTGAGCAATTTCTGTTCTTGATTTTGTGGCGAAATGATTGGTCCGTAGTAATTTCAGAATTTACTAAAATTCATTATTTTCTATTTGCTTTTGGATAAAAATGGTCGAGGAGCATTGCAATAGTTCGATGCCTTGTATAAAAATGGTCAAGGGTTGAACACTCAGCGTCTAGGTAAAGATGTTCTCGACGTAAGTGTTAGAAAGTTTTGAGCAGGCTAAATATGAATGTTGAGTTACTCAATGGAGTCGAGTGAGCTAGTTGAGCTTGAGTAAGGCTCGAGTATGCATGGCAGGACATCTTGGTTCATGTGATGAACATGCTGAGTGTTTTATTTCATTTATACAGAAACATCATGTTTGATTTATATATATATATAGAGGTTGTTTGACGACGTGACAAAGATTCGAAACAAAAACGTATATGATTTATAATTATTTTTATTGATTAAAATTTTAATTTATAATTTGTACAAACCACTCATAATTATAATTATTTTGGCGACTTTAATGATTCTACTTGAGATTTGCCCCGAGGACCTCTCATCCTAATGTAAACCCTATATTCATCGAATGTCATTGGGGAATAAAGCGCAGGTTTATCCGGTGTGACTAGCTCTTTTATCGGTCCTATCGGAATGTTGCTTTTCGGGTTGTAAAAGAAGGCCAACGAAACTCGTTCCTTATCCGAGTTCACGATCACTCTGTGCTCCACGCTTTTGTATATTGTGTTACTTAAAACCTGACCCATAAAAACACACATTTTAAAGAAATGGTCGAGCAAAACAAGACCCCTCTATGTGGAGATAGGCATAGAGGAGTTTGAGAAACGTTTCCTTTTGAGGCACGTTTATTTATTGAACTAATGATTGAGAAAACAAACCTGAACTTGATCGCCCACGTTGACTATAATAGCATGGCGGGCTGGCTTGACAGTGATCCAATTATCGTCCTTTCGAACTTGAAGTCCAGCAACTCGATCGTCGGGCAAGAGTAGCGTTAATCCACCGGGGTCGGAGTGCGAGGACAGCCCCAACGTGAGCTCGGGCTGGGGGCATTTTGGGTAATAATTGACTCTCAAACATGCTCCAACATCTTCTCCTCCAAATGCATTTTGAAGATAGGCTTGATGAAGCCCCAAGTTGAGTGATAAAAGCTTCAACAATCTTGCCCCTAACTTCACCACTTCTTCCCCATACTCCTCAATCAAATCTCTGCATTATTCAAACACAACAATCCCTTTTAAATTCCTCTAATTTTGTTTTTGTTAATAATATAAAAAATGGAATGCACGGGTCGGGTTGAGTTAGGTTGGATGGTTACCCGAGGCTCAGAGGCTGAGCGGGCCACTTATTGTGGTCTTTGAGGCGAGGAGGAAGATAGTGAAGAAAAAAGTAGTCGCTCCAATCAAGAATAGCTCCTTTTTGAACGCCAAGCCGGCTACCATACCCTTCATAAGTCCTAGGATTGTTGGCATAGCCCTGTTTACTCTCCACCGGCAAGTGGAAGAAATCATACCAGGCACGGCGGACGTCGTCGAGAAGCTCCGGCCGGATGCCGTGGTTGACAATTTGGAAGAACCCCCAGTTGCGGCAGGCATCGGAGACTTGGGCAAGAACGGTGGCTCGAAGCTCTGGCTGGTCGAGATTGAAAGCGTGGACGTCGATGATAGGGATGTTGAGGGCGGTGGTAACGGCGGAGGCTGAGGGGCGGTCCGTGGGTGGCTTGATGTAGCGGCTGGGAAGGAGGGGGCAGCCGCTTTCGGACAGGGATTGGACACGGACAATGGGTTCGGGCCAGTCATGGTCGAGAGTAGTCATCACGCCCAAGGAGGCTTTCCAGATTCCAAGGTTGTCTCTATTTATAAAAATCAAAATTTTTAAATCCAAACCCCTATACCTTTTCTTTTTTAAAAAACACAACCAAGTACGATGAA